TTCTTCTTCTTATTTTCACAACCGTCTATGTATAAAAGATCATTACCAGAGATTTCTCTCATTTTAAACATTATTCTCTTTCATAATAATCAATTTTTCATACTTCATATTGAATACTAATTGTAACGAAATATTGTTTGATGATAGATGGATAGTTTATATTCGTTACTGCTGCAGCTTTAATTTTTATTTGTGATCACAAAGAGAAACTGGAAGAGTAGTGTTACCGCTATCCTCGGTATATACATGATGTTAGTTACACTACTCCACTCTCTAATTTTCTACTTCTAGTTTACATTCCAGTTCTAATGTATAATACAATGCACTCGCTTTATATACGTGCACACGAGAGAGAGAGAAAGAGAAGATAGAAAGAACAAAAAACAGATATGATAGACATTTCTACCTTACATTAATTACGTTCAGAAACGTAACCACATCGCGCAATGATTTCTCGAAAATAGAAAGAAGAAGATCAGATACATTAATGATAGTAGTAGCTTATACAACATCCATTGAGAATAGCACATTCTATAACACTGATGAGAAAGTAATAGTACTGTCTGCACGACAGTCCCAAAGGGTAATTAAAAAAATGAACACCAAATATGTGAACAATAAAGGATGTCCATGCATTATTGGCACACTAATATAAAAAAAGAACTATTTAATTTATTACTTTTTAACAATGAGACATATATATATCATCTTTCTTTTTCTCTATTGATGAGTCATCATGAAAGAAGTCGCTAACATTAACGGTGCTCTATGGCGGATTCTTACTTATACAGTCAGAAAAAAAAACATCTAAACTATTCATTTAACTGTTCTTAAAGTCTTCATTGTAATTGAAATATCTTTCTCAAGAAATTTATTCTGGTTGACTAAATCACTCTCTATTATGAACTAAAAGATAATTAAAAATTTTCTTCTGATTTTTTTTTGAAATAATTCTTTTTCAGAGAAAATAGCCACTTGACAATATTCTTCAATAGAATCGAAATAATTTTAATAATAAGTTGCACTATAGAATAATTATTTTCAACTATCTCTTGGAAATAGAAATCAATAGAAATCTATTAATTATTATTACGTTTTTTTTTTTGTAGATTTAGCAAATACTATTCTTCTATTCAACTGATCTCGATCATTCATCGACGACATGTCAAGTAATCCTGATGATAATGAAAACAACAAAAATGTTCAAAGAAATGATACACAAGGCTTTATTGTGTCTGTTCAATCCGCATCTAATAGAGAATTAGAAATTAAAAATTCTCAATCAGGTGAAAAATCATCCAAACATGAAACGAAGAAAAAGAAGAATAAATGTCGAGGCAATCGTAAACTTCAACGTTACAAAGCAAAACTTCGCAAACGGGGATTCAATAATGAAGCAATAACATCATTGATCAACAATTANTTTTGTTGCACGTTTACGTTTTGTTGTTCGTACATTTTCTTGAATATTTCCTTTGTCAGAAGTCTCCTGTTGGTTATTTGTTCGCTATTTTAAAATAAAAAGAAGAATATTATATTATCATTACTAGAAAACTTTTCAATATTGATTTATACAACCTGATTATCTATGGGTACAAGCAGTTCTATATTTATATTTGGAATAGTAGATTCATGTACAACATTTTGATCTTGATTCACTTGATTATAATTGTTGATCAATGATGTTATTGCTTCATTATTGAATCCCCGTTTGCGAAGTTTTGCTTTGTAACGTTGAAGTTTACGATTGCCTCGACATTTATTCTTCTTTTTCTTCGTTTCATGTTTGCATGATTGTTTAGATGATTGAGAATTTTCGGCTGCTGATTCTGTAGAAGATGTTGGTTGAACAGACACAATAAAGCTTTGTGTACCATTTGTTTGAGTATTTTTGTTTTCACGATCATCAGGATTACTCGGCATGACGTAGATAAATGATCGAAATCACGGTTGAATAGTGTGGAAATCGACGAATATTATTTATTTGGATCTACAAAAAAATAGTAATACTAATAAATATATTGCTATTGATGTATGTTTCAAAGAGAAAGTTGAAAATAATTATTCTATAGTGCATCTTGAGCATTTGTTTTCACGAGAGCTGGTTTGTGTTACAGATGTGCTTATAATAGGTTGATTGCTTGCTCTATTGATAAGCATAGATCATGATGACTTGTGTTGATGTTGAGATGACCAATATTTTACTCCTCTTACTATTGTTGATTTAAAACTACCGAATTCAATGTAATTCAAACCTAAAATACAAAAATAAAATAAAAATTGAGTATTATTTTCTTTCGAATATTGATGTGCAATAAAACCAGCATACTTTTTTTAATATATTCATTCCATGCTCAATCACTATGGGTCACTTGATAAGTACAACGATTACATATCATGAAAATTAGAAATGAAAGTTTTTTATGCCTAGTTTTTATGTCATCTATTTAGAAGATAGCTTACCTGTAACAGAATCAAGAAACGAAGTTTTTTTATTGACCACTTCTTTAAGAACTATTTGTAAATGTAAATGAAACTCTTGATTTATTGTATCACTGTTGAATTCTTGTGCAACACAAACATATTGGAGTTTTTCTATAGTAAATATATGTTCAATTTCATTCATAACTTCTTCTTCTATAAATACGACAATCAAATGTAAAAAAGTAGTTGAATACATATGTATATGAAACAATGTTTTAATTAAGTTATTTTTTATCTTACTCGAAACATTCGTCCAACAAGTGATGGCAAATGATTTTCTATTCATTCGAACTGGTCGATGATCTTGAATGAAATTCTTCGTTATGATTTGACCTGTTTCAAGATTAAAGTCAAATACTCGAGCAATAGTGTTTGCATCTAAAATAGTGTGAAAATTTTAATGAAAAAGAATAAAAAAAAACATAGAAAACAATTCGAAACATACCGAGATGTCGATAATCAGCATAAGGACGATCGTGACCACTAACTTCTCCTACTCTATTCACCGATGGATAAGGAGGAATAGAACTGATAGACGACAAAAATAATCATTGTGTCTGTGTTTCTGATTTTTGGTCGTATAGCATGAATCGTTTCTTTCAATGATTCATTTGAACTACACAAATAAGACGGAATTTGATCGATATTGATTCCAATTAATTGTGTAAGATCGAGTTCTGTATAAGGAATAATCTTGCTTTGTTTTGATACTTTATTGTTCTTCTTCTTCTTTGGATGCTTCACTGAACAAGATAGTTGACTAAACTTCTGTGATAAATCAACTTCGTTCCATATCGACTAAAATAGAAGATATTGAATGATATATTGTTTCACAATAAAAAATGAATTCTTTTGTACTTGTGAATGTTGTGTTGTTTGAGTCATGTTTACACAGTGTCGTTCAGAAGATGCTCGTCTATTGTGAATTGAAATATATCTAAAACGAATGAAAGTGAACTAAATCAATGTGTATCATGTTAGATAAAAAGAAAAGAAAAGAAAAGAAAGAGTTTTCTTTTTTCATTTTCAAATAATCTATTTAAAGCTAATGCTACTCTATTACAAACCAATTACATCTACTAGGACAACATGGAAATAGGATAATAGTTATATTGTCAATTCAGATTTCTTCGATTTTATTGTTAATGATTACTATGAGTATGGTGATCTACAAAAGAAAAAAAACTAGGCATGACTGATGAAAGCAAGAGTAAACATACAAATGATATTTGTTGTTTTTATTCTTTTTCATTTTTTGATAAAGTCAAAAGATGAATAGGTGGTCGTTTATTAACGAGAATATCACAATTGGTGAGATTCTTCGATGTTGATTCTACCCATTTGATCTGAATATGTTTTGTTTGTGGTTCATTACCATAATATTTCTTCCACCACTCTATGATGCGTTTTTTATAATCAGCTAGTTGTTTATGATCTATCGATTTTGGACATGAAATAAATAGTGTATGTTGATTTTGTTGTTCATGTTTTTGTTTCAGTTCCATTTGTAGTTCAGTGACTTGAATAATACGTTGACGTAATTGACGATATTCATCTTCATTCAGAAGACATGAAAAGGAACCTTTTGATAGACCAAATTCTAAAAAAAAATGTTCAATACCGGACTGAATAAATTCCGATGTAGAACCATGTGCAAGAAATCCGAGTTGAATATGACGTCGTTCATGATGGAATTTCATGACATTCGAACAACATCGAACAGCTCGATATAAAACAGCATATAATTGTTTTGATTTATTTTCCATTGGTTCATCGGATACATTTGGTAGAGTATCAATATTTGGATCATAATAAACTTTACTTTCGAGAACATCATTATTGTTATGACTAATTTCGATATCATGAAAATGAACTGTTGATCCAATGGACATCGTCACGAGATGTCGAGTATGTTCGACATGAATACTTTTCTTGATTAATGTACAAAATTCATCTTTAGATCCATGCCATGTTAAAATTGCTTGTTCTCGATATCTACCCGTAGAATTGAACGAAAAATAACTTATGGCTATAGGATAAAATTTCTAAGAATCCTACCTGCCAAAAAATTCATCTTTTTCTTTTATCGTTTTCATTAACTCACTATCTTGTCCATAAAATAAATTAACATAGGTCAATAGCATTGTCAATGGTAAACCAGAAGCACCACCATGAATTTGTTGATACAATCCATTATTATAAACACAAAATTGATTTTTTAATACAAGATGAACCAATTGCAAAATAATATCAATAGTAAGACCATCAATTGTCTTATCTTGTAATTGTTCGATAAGTAAACGTTGTAAGGTTGACATTGTTTGATCATGTAAAAAACTTGTCGTCAAATCATCCATATTAAATGTTACGAAGAGAGTACCAGGTTTAAGATGACCCATTTGTGCATACTTTTCAATACCATGTATAACATCAATAGAACCGTTCTGAAATCGTCTACAATTGGTTGCCTGATCAAATATTGACCATAGAAGTGGAGTTATATAGCGAACGATATTCATTGTTGGCCCATCATTACATACCGTGATTGGTCTCACTGGTATTTCTTCCTGTGTGTATGTATTCATTCATAAGATAAAATTATTAAAAAAATCTATAAGATACGTACTTTATGAGTTTCTGGTACAAAATAAAGATAATGCATCCGAACCAATGATCGATTAATATTCATTTGGCAATGATGTACTTCATTGATATATTTCGAATCAAGTAAATGAGACAATTTTGTTTCTATTTCTTCAAGAATTTTAGCTAAACATAATTGACTGGCATTTTGATGAACTCCATTAAGTTTATGTAGTAATACCCATGTACTAGTTTGCGTTATATAAGCGA